ATGTATGTATGTATGTATGTATGTATGTATGTATGTATGTATGTATGTATGTATGTATGTATGTATGTATGTCAGTGCGGACAGAGGAGGACCCAATAGCACAGTTTAATCCAAACGTTTATTCAGGTTCTGGAGGCAGGAAGCAGGAATCTCGGTTCTGGATCACAGGTGGGAGTCAGACTCAAAAACAGGCAGACAGGTTACTCATGCAGGCTTACAGACGATCTGACAAGTGTGGAGTGAAAAACTGGGCCTCATATACAGAGGTGGTAATCAGGAAATGCAGAGCAGCTGGCAGGTTGAAGGGAGCAGAGCAGAGACAGGTGCAGGCAATCAGCCCAAGCAGAGAGCTCATGACAGGACCCCCCCCTCTAAGGGACGGCCCCAGAAGTCCCCAAAACGACATCACATTGGGTGGGCGGAGAAGGAGCCAGTGGAGGTTCAATACTCCTCAGAACGATCCGACTCCATGGCCCCATCCTCCAAAGGGACCTGTGAGACGCCATCAGGGGCAAGGTCTAGATCAGAATCCGAGTCAGACACAGGGTCAGGGGCTGAGCTTGAGGCGTGACGGGACCCCTTTGGACGACCTCTTTGGGCGGCAGGTTGGTCCGGATGCAGGCGGTGGAATTCGGTGATGAGGGTCCGGTCAATAATTCGACTGGCCGGAACCCAGGTTCTCTCCTCAGGTCCATAGCCCTCCCAGTCAACGAGATATTGAATTCCCCTACCTCTCCGTCTGGACCGAAGCAGGCGTCGGACGGTGTACACCAATCCACCGTCAATGAGACGAGGAGGAGGAGGAGGAGGTGTAGATGGGACCAGTGGGGTTACGTGCACTGGTTTGACTTTGGAAACGTGGAAAGTCGGGTGTACCTTCATGGAAGCTGGCAACTGGAGCCGGACCGCTGTTGGGCTGATGACCCTCTGGATAGGAAATGGGCCGAGGAACCGAGGGGCCAGCTTGGGTCATTCCACCCGCAGCGGCAGGTCCTTGGCTGACAGCCACACCTTCTGGCCAACGCGGTAAGTGGGTGCTGGCGTCCTTCGACGGTTAGCCCCAGTGGTATAGCTGGTGGCTGACTTTAATAGTGTGGCACGGGCTTGAGACCAGATGCGGCGGCACCGGCGAACACAGGCAAGGGCAGACGGGCAGGACACTTCTCCTTCCTGGCAGGAAAACAGAGGAGGTTGGTATCCATATACACACTGGAAAGGTGACATACCCGTGGCAGAGCAGGTGAGGGAGTTATGGGCGTACTCTATCCATGTCAGTTGTTGTGCCCAAGCCTGGGGTTTACGGGATACCATGCATCGGAGTGCCTTTTCCAGCTCTTGGTTTGCCCGCTCTGACTGGCCGTTGGACTGGGGGTGGAAACCAGAGGTGAGGCTGGCCGTGGCCCCTAGAAGTTGGCAGAATTCTTTCCATAATGTGGAAGTGAATTGGGGCCCCCTGTCTGAGACGACATCCCTGGGTAACCGTCCAGTGAAATGTGGGACCAAGGTCGTGTGGGCACAGGCAGAGGCTGGAGTAGTCCAGCAGGTGGCTGGTTGGAGGACTTGTTTTGATTGCAGGTGGGGCAAGCACGGACAAATTCCCTGACATCCCCTCTCAACGAAGGCCACCAGAACCGCTGAGCAAGGAGATGGCAGGTGCGGGTTGAACCCGGGTGGCAAGCAAGGCGGGAGTTGTGTCCCCACTGTATGACCCGGGATCTCAAGTTCTCTGGGACGAAGAGGCGGCCATCAGGGCATGCGCTGGGGCCTGGTTGATCACGGAGGGCCTCTTGGACCTCTTTCTCCACATCCCAGGTCAGGGCAGCTACGATGCAGGGACCGGGCAGAATGGATGCAGGTTCCTGGGATGGGGCGTCACCCTTCTGGAACTGGCGGGAGAGAGCATCTGGCTTGGTGTTACGTGAACCAGGACGGTATGACAAGGTGAAGTTGAATCTGGTGAAAAACAGGGCCCAGCGGGATTGTCTGGGGTTAAGACGCTTGGCACTGCGGATGTATTCAAGGTTTTTGTGATCAGTCCAGACCAGGAATGGAACTGTGGACCCCTCCAGCCAGTGACGCCACTCCTCCAGGGCAAGCTTGACAGCCAGCAGCTCTCGATTCCCGACATCATAATTGCGCTCTGCGGGTGAAAGCCGGCGCGAAAAGAATGCGCAAGGGCGCAGCTTGTTGTCCTCCACTGCTCGTTGGGAGAGTATGGCCCCAACCCCCACATCCGAGGCATCCACTTCTAGGACAAACTGCCGGTCTGTATCCGGCATCTGAAGGATGGGAGCAGTGGTGAAGCGGGTTTTGAGGATTTGAAAAGCTTTGTTAGCCTCTGGGGTCCAGACAAAAGGATGTTTGATACTGGTCAAAGCAGTGAGGGGAGCGGCGACTGTGCTGTAGTTCCTGATGAATCTCCTGTAGAAATTGGCGAAGCCAAGGAACTGCTGCAACTTCTTCCTGTTTTCTGGAACTGGCCAGGAAGTGACCGCGGAAACCTTTGCGGGGTCCATCTGGATATTTCCTTCTCCCACCACGTATCCCAGGAATGAAACAGTCCGAGCATGGAACTCGCATTTCTCTGCTTTGACATAGAGCGAGTTCTCCAGCAGGCGACGGAGGACCAGCTGGACATGACGAATGTGTTCAGCCAGAGTCTTTGAAAAAAATCAAGATGTCGTCCAGGTACACAAAAACAAATTTATTCAGCATGTCACGCAACACGTCGTTCACCAGAGCTTGGAACACCCCTGGAGCATTGGTGAGTCCAAATGGCATAACCAGGTACTCATAGTGACCCGCGTGAGTGTTGAATGCGGTTTTCCACTCGTCACCTTCTCGTATGCGTACTAAGTGGTATGCATTTCTAAGGTCCAGTTTGGTGAAGATTGTGGATCCCTGGAGCAACTCAAAAGCAGATGTTAGTAAAGGCAGAGGGTACCTGTTCTTCACCGGTAATCAGGAAATGCAGAGCAGCTGGCAGGTTGAAGGGAGCAGAGCAGAGACAGGTGCAGGCAATCAGCCCAAGCGGAGAGCTCATGACAATGTATGTATGTATGTATGTATGTATGTATGTATGTATGTATGTATGTATG